GCCAGCTACGAATAAAGTCGCTCGTTAGCGAAAGCCCCCACTTAGTTTAAGGCGTTAGTACGAACAAGCAACGGAATTAGCGCCCGTTAGCGAAAGCCCCCACTTAGTTTAAGGCGTTAGTCACGAACAAGCAACGGATGAGCGCCCGTTAGCGAAAGCCCCCACTTAGTTTAAGGCGTTAGTCACGCGCAGCCGTTTTCTTGCTGCAGCCGTTTGATTGCTGCTTTAGTTTGATTGCTGCTTTAGTTTGATTGCGTAGTTTTCTTGCTGCTTTAGTTTGATTGCTGCAGGAGTTTTCTTGCGTAGTTTGATTGCTGCTTTAGTTTTCTTGCCCCGCCCCGTTTTCTTGCCTAGTTTTCTTGCCCCGCCCCGTTTTCTTGCTGGAGCGAAGAAGCGCTTTCATTCTTTTTGAGACTTACCGAGCGAAAGGCGTAGAGGCGCTGTTCACACGTCTTGGTGAAGAAGCTGTGATTGGTGTGGTTTTTGCTTCTTTCCATTCTTTCTTATACCCAGGTAGGTCAGTGACCGAGAGATTCTGTGTTGAAGAAATAACCTATGCTATTTCCGCTCTTGGGGGAATAACCGCAGTTGGTGCTTTAGTAGGGGCATTCTATTCTGTTTCAGAAAGAACTCTGAGTGAACAAGGCTAAAGCCTATCTTTTCTCAAGCTTGATTCGCAATAGCTATCAGTTCAAGCAGGAAAGCCCGCGTATTCTTATTCTAATGTCCATTGGAGCGCTTTCTCGGGAATTATCTTTGTCACTATTGGCTTGAAACCAAGACCCTTTCGCTTCAACAGTCCTGTCTATAGGTTCGATAGTGGGTTGCTATGTCTCTGTATCTCGACCGTTGACTGTGACCTGGACACTCTGGTCTCGCTTCGATGGTTACTGGTTGTTTGAATCTCTCCTCTTCTTTTATTTCGAGTGTTAGAGTCAACCATTTACTCTAAAGAGAGTGAGCGACCTACTAGTAGCTAGGAGTAGGAATGAGGAATAGAATAGGCTCTTCTGTCTTACCGCTACGCCCCCCCTTGTATAGTAAGGCAATAGAGTTGCCTGCCGTCCTACGGCTTTCTTCGAAGTGTTCTAATTTCTATCATTGACAAAAGAGTAGGTGAGAAAGAAAAGAATTAAGATTGGCTGGAAGTTCTCTATCACAGTAAGGGGTACAATGTCCAAAATGTAGTATTTCGCTGTTGAAATGCTCGGATAGGGATTTATTTACTCATGTGGCACACGAAAAGTCAGGATTATGCCAAGGTCAAGGAAGGGCATTTTCTACTAAATCGGAAATGAGTTAGAGTTCAAGGTAACTCTGGATCCGGCTATCTCGTTAATCGGTATAGTTTTTTCTTTCATTGGTACTACTCCGATTCAATTCCTTCGAAACCGAAGAGACAGAGTCTCAGTTGATGCCAATTCTTCTCCGCTTCCACTGGATTACTCATGATTTAATAGTTCACTGGTCCACTGGGCAAGGGCCTACGACATAAGGCTCTTCCTACGAACCTAAGAAATAGAGTTCTGCATCGGGTCTTTCTTCCTAGTTACCTTTCAAAAGCGGATAACCACCGGAGCGATAGGCACCTTCTATTCAATCAAAAAATGTATGCTGCTTTTCTCTCCTTTAGAGCTACCTGAGACTTTGAAAGAGGGTGAAACTTCTTCCGTTCATGACCTATACATACCCAAGACTCATTCACTCCTTAAAGAGATCAGTCGCAGAGTTTTTGATGATAATAGAGCTTTTACTTTTGATGCCCTTAGCCCCTTCCTTCCGGCTGATATGCTCTTCGTTACACTCAGCCTTCTAAACCCAGAGTCTATCAACTCTACTTCTCCAACTCACTCTTCGTCTGTCGACTCTTCTTGGAGAGTCTGTAAACTCTACATCGCTAACGCTCAACCTTTCTCATGGGACACTGCAATATCATTCATCTCACCTGCGATAAGAAAAAGGTAAAGAAAGACCATTGGCAACGTCCTCGATAGCATCCCATAACCTGTGAGGAGCGATTCCAGCTTCCTCAGTCTTGTCCGTCTTTCATTTCTGTGTAAGAGCCCAAAAGGGAATCAATCGTTAGCATTCCAATCCGTAATGAATCTCTTTGTCTTCTATTCTCTTTCTCGTTTTCGAAGTTGTAGAGCGAGTTTATTTTCATTTAAGGGAATGGTCCTTCGCACCCTAAGTGAGAATCTCCTTCCACCTTTGATTCTAATCTTAGAATTCTAAGGCCAAGAACCTTATTCTATAGCATTTTATGCCGTATGCTAACATGCAAAGAGTGGTTACTCCTTCTTGTCATGTACAGCGGATACTGTAACAGCGGTTATTCCGTTCTCAGCTGATTCAACAAAGTGGATTCTCTAACAACCGATTCCATAAGAGCAGATTCGTGCAAAAGAGCTAACATCCTTGTGAACAGACCGGCTTGGGACAGGCTTGCTTGCTTTCAAGAGTTTGACCGGTCAAGGTTTTTCTTCCTACTTTCTTGCCGAGAGCAGGGACAGAAAGAGTCATTACACCACCCGTCCTACTGCACTGGGGAGAAAAAGAACCTATAGCTTACAGAGCTAGTCACAAAGGCTTAACCACCAACAGATGCCTAACTTTTGTCGACGGGTAGCTACTCGCTTTAGTAATCGTATGAGTCCTGGCCTAATCCTTTAGGGCTATCAGTCAAAGTAGGAAAGAAAAAAGTCTTCAAAGTAGTCCATTACTACTGTATGGTAGTTTTTTCCGTATGCCCGCCTAAGCGAGAGTATGGGTTTCCGTTGGGTGAACCCTTCTCGATCGTCTTATTGGTATTGTGGTAAGCGCTTTCTTGCCTGGCGCATTGCCTTCCTTTAAGTGATTGTACCACCCTTTGATCTCTTTCCCGCATTCGTTCATTTCTTTCGTAGAGGGAAAAGCAAACGCATATCCATTCGTTGATGCAACTAGTCGTTGACTTTTGTTTTTCTTCCCTACTCTTAAGGGAGGTTACGAAAACAGCGCTTATCCCAGACCGGTTGAAAAGAGTAAGAGTTGCTCACTCTTCCATCTGAAGTAGCCGTAGATGCAGCAATTCCCCTTATGAAGATCTTTGGGCATCTCTCTCCTGGTGAGCCTTAGTTTAGTACGGATGATAGGATGTCGGGAATAGCCTTCAAAGAGCGTATTCTTCCTCTCGGGGAAGTCTTGGCTGATTCAACTCAAGCAAGAACAGCATCTATTCCTTCAACAGCTGTTAGGGGCCTTTTTCCTCCGTTTAACGACGTCATATAGGTAATCAGCCACATGAGTACCTGAAGACGTCTTAAAGGGAACTGTAGGCCATTTTAATGCGTATTCAGAACCTCGATTCCCTATCTGGTTTGTTAAACGGTGGTTAACCAGTAAGAACATTTATAAGGGTTCCAGGATTCAAGGTTCCTTACCTTAACCGGAAGAGTAAGAGAAGGAAGAAGAGCTGGAAGCTAGAGAGTTGCTGCCTAGCTACAAAGCCTGGATTTCCATGACATACTCAAAAGTGGTTTCTTATTCAATGGTGAGCTGATGAAGATATAGGGAAAGAACTCCCTTCTTAATGCCTATAGGGTAAAAAGAGAGGGGACTTCCCAGAAGGAGAGTGGAAGCCCAAGAGAGAAGAAGTCGTTCCAATCCCTGACTTCCATTCCTGACTTATCCCAGCTCGGGAGGACAGGGGAAGACTCATAAAAAAGTAAAGTATGACAAAACGATTAGCTGCGAACAAGAAGAAGCTCTTCAAGGAGTTCTCACTTCTGGCCACACCAACCCTTTCAACTCCGAGATGGATTTCTCAATCAACATCGATAAATAAGGGCCTCCCACCCCTTGAGGTAATCCGTAGGATTACAGACTTATCCAACAGACGAGAATGCTGGTCCTGAATCCGGTTCAGGATCGGGGGAAACCACTGACTTTGCTACTACTTCCACTGGGTGGTCAATCAAATCAATTGGTGAAACTGCTGCTTTATTTTCCGCACTGAAACCGAAATTGCTGCTACTTTGATTCATATGCTGGTGGTGAGTCAAATGCGATTTCATAGACGGAGAGAACCAACCTACCAGGTTAGTTGCTCGGATGACTAACTCATACCCGCGTTACCTAAACGTCAGTAGCATGTTGGCGTGGAGCTGGCGATCCACGGCAAAAAGGCTTGGGGGCTCTATGAATTTCATTTCCCGGCCCGCACTGACTAATCGCTAAGAGCTCATCCCGAGTTCTCTCGGGACGGGATAACTCGAAGTACGGCATGAAGTAAGAAGTAAGCCAAGCTCAGTTAGCCGTTACGTTAGGGTGACTCGAGAAAGCTTGAAAGGGAATTCCGAGAGCCCTTAAGCTTGAAGCTATCCGGCTTCAAGCCGTGAAGGAGGAATCCGAGTTGTAAGTAAAATAAGGAAGATCGTTCATCAGCGCTTTCAGTAACTAAACGAAGAGTAAGCCAGGTGCGTAATCAAGCTCATCTCCTCCTGTCTTCCCGGAGTTTCGTTTCAGTTCTCCTTTAAGGTTCTCTTCGGTAATTAAACTAGTTAGCAGGGACAGATTCCACTGTGCTTTCAAACTCAAAGATTCAATTAAGTAAGCTTGGCTTTGGCATTTGCCATAGGAAGTTTCTTTATTAGGGGCATGCCTTAAGGAAAGGAGTCACTTTCACGGGTATCTAGAAACAATGGGATCCCTCTTCTTAACTCATTCTTTCATCTTAAATCCTTTCATCTTAAAGGTTTGATAGTTGCAGTTAATAAAGCAAGTTCTTCTCTTAACACAGGGAACTCTAAAGCTTCCTTCAATGGCTTACTTTTTGCCTTGCTCAATGCTTCAGAAAGAGGGATTGCTTAAACATATAGCGAGTGTAGTTTACGGAACGAGTCTAAAAGCCTACACTTACACTGGGATTATTGATTAACAATAAGCTAGCCACGCACGGTAGACTGATTCAAAGACGGATACAATAGGCATTGAGAATTGCTTATAGAAAGAGAAGACTGACTACTGGTGCGGAAGATGAGCTGTTAATAAAGCTTGATTCTCTTACTTACGCAATTCAGTCTTTAACAGCGCTTATCCCGCATCCTGGACTATTCTTAATGTTCTTACTGGGAAACCGTAGTTTGTGTAGCCTATATGCTATAAGTTCTAAGTTAGAGCGAGGACCGAAGGGATGGAGCTATTTCCCTGGGAAGGTCAAGCCCATTACCAAAGCCCCACCCATCCACCATAATGGACGCCAACACCATTTCAGAATGATAATGAAAAGCAAAAAAGTGAGTACCCTACTTCACTTATAATAAGAAGAGTAGGGAGGGAGAACGGAAGACAAAAGAGCCCTAACTCATATCGTACCAAGAACTAACTTGCCATTGACCTAATCAAGCGGGAGATCACCTTCGCTCATGTTCTGAGAATCTCCATCTGCTCTAAGTGGGCGAACTAGAATCCTTATGTCAGGTTGGTTTTCTTCCTAGCTGGCAAGCCCCTTCTCATAGTTGCTTGTCTTTTTATCGCTGCGCTTACGAGGAACTCGCTTGCCTGAGCCTGCCTTGCATACCCCGTTGGTTCTTGGTTTTGGGAGGGTTTTCTAAGGTAGTAACGCTTTGCATTCGCAGGAACTCTTTTGAGTTCGGTAACATCGTTCAGTTCATAGGTTTGGGATTCGAGGAGTTCTCTTTTCGGTACTATTGATAGAGTTCCTCACTACACTACTGCTTTTAAGCCTTTCCTTTGGAGCCTGAGGCAGTTACGTTAAGTAACAGGATCTTAAACTCTCGTTCTGTACGTGAGCACTCGAAAATATCATCTTCTTTTTCTTCTTATTTCGTAAAATAAGTAATAATGTGGTGACTTCTTTCCTTTGTTTGGCTTGAGTCCAATCTCATCTGGATTGAGATGGAGTCGTCTTGCTTAGTAAGGAGTTGTTCTAGTCTTCTGGTAGTCGCTTGCGCTTGTCTTATGAGTGAATCTCGATCTATGGCCTATTTGATTGAAGACCTGTTCAAAAGATCAGATAGGCGGATGGAAGCAAGAGGCTGGCTAGCTCGTGAAATCAAGATCTCGTAAGAAACTGTATCACAAGTACACTAACGAGTACCACGAGTGCACTAAAGGATTTACAAGCAGAAATCAATAGTCTGAAAATATTGCGTAAGAGAAAGAGATTTATAGCCAGTCTCTTTAGCGGCCGATACGAGAATTTTATGTCAAAAGGACCAACCAACGAGGATGAAGAAGGAGCAGGAGGAGGAGCTAACTTTAGTAGGGACGGAAGCGAAGAAATTCTGAGTTCATGCCACGACGATCTATATGGAAGGGCAGTTTTGTTGATGCATTCCTTTTCAATATTCTAGGTATAATACTTTTCTATTTGCTTGTCGATTTTTGCTATTTCATGCTCGGTGGAAGCAAGGAACCCTTCGTGGGATTCCTCCTCATCATGAGTGTGTGTTCGGCGTTCTATTTTTGTTTTCGCGCCGAAAATTCTCTTAGCCGTTTTCAGTCTGTTTTTTCTTTTTTTCTCAGTTTTTGCTCAGTAATGCATCTCTTAGAAAAAGAGTGGCTTTTTTGGTTTCTTCTTTTTTTTTTTCAATAGTTAATTTCTATTTTGTAAAATACAAGCAAATTCCTCTAAAGTTTGGTTTTTTTTCTATTCTTTTGGGCTATTTGCTTGTATGCTCAGAAATTCGCCTTTGGGTATTCACTATGGTTGTTCAACTGGTCTTCGTATTCCTTTTAATTTGCTTCTTTCAAGAATTAAACCTCAGGTATCATGCCTGCGAGTCTTCCCCTAGCAAATCAATCTTCTTTTTTTTACTCATTATTATTATTTCTTTTCATAGACAATGACAATTTGATTTGTACAAGTCCCACCTTTATGCTTAAAATTAGATTCCTTTTTTCGGGTTCACTTGTTCTTTATGGAAGTTTTCTCAGCAAAAATCGTTTTGACCTTTTTTTGGTATCTCTTATATATATCTTATTCCATTTTGGAATTGGATGGAGACAGCAAATCCGTCTTTTTACGAAATTCTATCCTTTATTTAACACTCACTCTCTATATATATATTCTTCTACACGGTCTTAGTAAAAAAAAGAAGATTGATTTGGATCCTTTATTTAACAAAATTCAAGTTGACATTTTCCTCGGGAAATTCATTTTCATTTTGGTTATCCTCTCGAGTATGCCGATGCCTTCCACCTACTCGTGGGTATGGTCTTGGCTTGCGACTTTCGCGTCGCAGGTGTTAGCACTTCATTTTTTTTGCTTTTTTTTCAAGTCTTTCCACGCGAAAGGAAACCTTCTCTCTCTGTGGACTAGTAATTCTTTTTAGTACAATTTCATTTATCTTTTTTGCTTTTGTTTATTTTTTCACATAAATGAAGGGATCGAAGAGGTTATGGCAGATTATGTTCACCAAGAAATGACCCGAAATTGGATCTTGGTCTATTTGAGATTGTTATAACATTTGAATTTCTTGATCATTCTACGTTCCCGAAATGGATCTTATCAAATTTTTCACATTTTCTATGATAATCTCTATTTTAGGTATTTGGGGAATCCTCCTTAATAGACGAAATATTCTTATTATGTTAATGCCAATTGAATTAATGTTATTAGCTGTGAATTTGAACTTTTTGGTATTTTCCGTTTCTTCGGATGATATGATGGGTCAAGTATTTGCTTCATTGGTTCCAACGGTGGCAGCTGCGGAATCTGCTATTGGGTTAGCCATTTTCGTTATAACTTTCCGAGTCCGAGGGACTATTGCTGTAGAATTTATTAATAGCATTCAAGGTTAAACATGATTCCTAGCGAATTACCAAAATACGAAGTTCTCTTCTCCTTTCGTTCTCTTCTTTCTTTTTGATTTTGACTTGGTTGGCAGGGTCAGGGCCTTTCTCGCTGGGCGAGCGCATCCGATTGATTCTAAAGTCCTTTCCTAAACCACTTCCCGTTCAGTTGCTGAAAGATAGAGAGAACCCTTCTAAATGAGATTGAGTTCCACGGCAAGAAAGATGCTATTTGCTGCTATTCCATCTATTTGTGCATTAAGTTCGAAGAAGATCTCAATCTATAATGAAGAAATGATAGTAGCTCGTTGTTTTATAGGCTTTATCATATTCAGTCGGAAGAGTTTAGGTAAGACTTTCAAAGTTACTCTCGACGGGAGAATCCAGGCTATTCAGGAAGAATCGCAGCAATTCCCCAATCCTAACGAAGTAGTTCCTCCGGAATCCAATGAACAACAACGATTACTTAGGATCAGTTTGCGAATTTGTGGCACCGTAGTAGAATCATTACCAATGGCACGCTGTGCACCTAAGTGCGAAAAGACAGTGCAAGCTTTGTTATGCCGAAACCTAAATGTTAAGTCAGCAACACTTCCAAATGCCACTTCTTCCCGTCGCATCCGTCTTCAGGACGATCTAGGCACAAAGTTTCGCATATTAATTGGGAGGAGATTTTGCCCCAGGTGTATCACGAAAGCAGAAAAAATAGAACTCATTCAAGAGAGCTTGGTGGTCTTAAGAATGGTTCGGGGGGAGCCTTCTCTTAAGAATAAATAAAGAAGACGAATAGAAGATAATTCATGTTCATGCTAACAGAAGAGAAGAAAACTAAACTGTCAGTCCAATATTTGCTTGCACGGGCTGTTATTTCAAGTGGGATCAGTCCGGATTATTTGACCGATGTCAACATTCTCGCCAACGCCTATTGCATTTTGATGGAAAAGGGACCTGGTAATGAACTTATGACAGAAGCCCTGAAAATCCTGCAGCTATGGCAGCACGGGTTACCCATTTCATAGGCGAGGGTGGGGGACAGGTTTGAGGACCTGTTGGTCAAAGAAAATGCAGATAGATTGTATAAAAGAGTGCGAGTTGATGTCGGTATTGGAAACGTCTTCAGTTCTTTGATCGCGCGAAATCCATCATTGGCAAAACAATCATATGGTTCCTTACAACTATCTTTTTGAAGCAGATAGTTCACAGTGCTCATTCTTTTAGAATGGAATAGATAAAATAATGAATAATTGTTTCAAACCGGTAATAGATTTATTGAGAAAGACTCTTTGTGGTGGGGGTGCTGATGATGAAAATAATCGTGGTACCTCTGAAGGTAACAATCGTTCTTCAAATAGAAGTTGTACATGCTTTAACAACATAGTATGTTGTGGTCGGTCTGAGAACTGCAAGCCCTCATTGCAAACGCCTCCCCAACAGAACGATGGCATGCACACGCAATGCCAGTGCGGCAAGAAGGGCACCCTTAAGGGGGATCTGCATCCTAAGGACGGGGTACCAGAAGGAACGTCTTCTGAATCTAAGAGGAGAGAGGGGGATGGAAAGCTGAATAAGAACTTGAATCCAAGGCATCTCATTCAAGTTCTGTTAGGTTCTTAGTAGCTCTTTCGCTAACAAGCAACGTGCGAAGCTGCCCCTATCAGATAAAGGCAAAGCGAGAGGAACAAGCAACGAGCAAGAAAACGGATGTGCGTTAGTACGCAACAAGCAACGGAATTAGCGCCCGTTAGCGAAAGCCCCCACTTAGTTTAAGGCGTTAGTACGAACAAGCAACGGATGAGCGCTCTAGCGCGAAAGCCCCCACTTAGTTTAAGGCGTTAGTCACGCGCAGCCGTTTTCTTGCTGCTTTAGTTGGATTGCTGCTTTAGTTTGATTGCTGCTTTAGTTTGATTGCTGCTTTAGTTTGATTGCTGCTTTAGTTTGATTGCTGCTTTAGTTTGATTGCTCCGCCCCGTTTTCTTGCCTAGCTTTCTTGCCTAGTTTTCTTGCTTGCTAGGGATAGGTACGTTCGAAGACGCTCTCCCGGTAGGGAGAGGATGAGTTCTCTATCTCTTTTTTCAGTCTACTCAAGTCCAAACCATTGGGACCCCTTAGAGGTTCTAACCAGGGAGCACGTAGATCCCAAAAACGCATAGTTTCTCCCCCAAAAAGCACTTCTCCGGTCGAGGAACGCATTAGATATTTACCTTAACCGGTAGGTCCTTGAGCAGATCCTACGTTAGCCCCAAGACGTTGGTCTCTAACTAGAAAAGTAAATGCTTGAGCTTGAGAAGCTTCTGGTCCAGTGGGCCCGTAAAACTCACTAGGATAAGCGGTATTATTAAACCAGACAAAGCAACAAGCAATAAAACCAAAAACAGATAAAGCACCTATACCTAACAAGATTAAGTGAATACCCAAAATTGTAGTCATTTTATTTCTATCTTTCCATACATAACCGAAGAATGGAAAAGATTCTTCAAGAATCTCAGGTCCCAGAAGTGCATGATAAATGCCGCCAAAGCCCAATACTGCAGAGGAAATTAAGTGAAGCACTCCAGACACAAAGTATGGAAGGGTGTCTATAACTTCCCCACCAGGACCTACCCCCCAACCTAGAGTAGCTAGATGGGGAAGTAAAATGTTGCCTTGTTCATACATGGGCTTCTCTGGTACGAAATGAGCCACTTCAAATAGGTTCATTGCTCCGGCCCAGAATACGATTAATCCGGCATGGGCAACATGAGCCCCCAGTAGTTTACCGGATAAATTGAGAAGTCGGGCATTCCCGGCCCACCAAGCGAAACCGGTAGTTTCTTGGTCACGACTAGTTAAAGCTAAAGTTCCATTAAAGAGCGTTTCCACGTGGTAGAACCTCCTCAGGGAATATAAGGTTTTCATGAGGCTGATCTTGAGCCGCCATCCAAGCACGAATACCCTCGTTTAAGAGAATATTTTTGGTGTAGAAAGTCTCAAATTCAGATAAATCTAGACCGGAAAATCGCATAACTCTCAGCCGCACCTTGGAAAGGCTTCAAAAGCATGGTGTACTCACGCCTCTTCCCCCATCTCCGTCACCATCTCCTCCTAGGTACAAAGCCCATGCCTACTGCAAGTACCTTTAGACAAATGGCCAAAATACTGACCGATGTTTAAGGCTACATCCAAGACCTTATTAATTCAGGGAAAATTGAGCCACCAAGGGCAAAGCGTCCCAATGTCACTACCAATCCCCTACCCACTCATGCTTTACCTCCTCCTGCCAATATAAACATGATCGAGCCGACATTGCCTATGTTGTTGGAGTCGTGAGTCAATTCATGCAGAAACCGAGAACGAGACATATAGATGTTGCATACAGAATCCTCAGATATCTTAAGGGTTCACCTGGAAAAGGTCTTCTTTTCCCATCTTCCAGTTCCCTTCAGATGACAGGAGACTCCGATGCAGATTGGGCAGGAGATGCGCTGGACGGGGAATCCATCACTGGAAATAAAGATTTCATTGTCATTGGAGACAGCTCTATATTATATCGTGGAAGAGAAAGAAGTAACAGCTTTCAAGTGATTGATCAAGGAAGGGCGAAATCAAGTTCTTTCGCTAAGTATAGGGCGATGCCCACTACAGCTGGGAATCCCCGCATCAAACTCCTGCCGAAGATTGATGAAAGACAAGACGATCCGGTACATCGATACTCTTCGTAATTGGCCTCAGACGGGCTAACTATAATATCTAATGGAAATGTCTTATATCGGGGGTGACCTAGACGTGATGGGAAATTCCTTAGATGGGACAGAAGAAAGAGGGCTTGATTGACCAGGAAGACAAGCAATAGGAAAGAAATCCCAATAAGATAAGGAAAGCCATTAAGCAAGCCAGCAGGCAAGCAAGAGATCTAGGCAATGTAGGTGAGTGAGTTGAGGAAGGTAAGACGCTTGAGTAGGGAGTTGAGTTTTTAAAGGATAGATGAATTGGAGAATAGCTTCATTGTAGGGCTAGGCCTACCGATTGGTGAGTCAGACTGGTCTAGGAGAGGTATGAGATTGCTAAGAGAAAGGTATGAAATCGGTACAGTACTGCGTAACCTTATCCTTAGTGTTAAAGTCTAAATCCACTTTTCAAGCCTAAAAGACTAAATAGAATCTCATTTTATAACCTTACTTTGGATCTCTTTCCCTACCCGTGACTAAGCGAGCTTTTGCTTAAGGGAATTGGCCGTATTTTCAACATCTTAGGCGAGAAATCAGTCTAAAACAGGGATACTCGTGGATACAATAGGTTGATTTACGCTTACCAGTCATTATAGGCATAAAGCCAAATCTTAATTTGGAAGACAATACCTATAGGTAATTTAAATACGAATAAGCTGGTCAAGTAGAAGGAACTCCCAGAGTGTGAAGCCCCTTGGAGTAGGGGATGAGACTTGGTCTGGGGCAATTGCACCGTTCTCTCCCTCCGCGCATGACTAATTGAGAACGAACTTCGCAATTAGAGTTACTCGACCTTCTCATCCTTTCTGGGTCCGGACAAATTCTTTGTCAAGCACAAATTCTTCCTTTAGTCGATCAATTCCTTTAAGGGATCTACTACGGCGACTTTAGCCATGACATAGCTGTGGCAGAGATGGCTAATTCAGGAGTCCAAGTATGCCCTATGTTGGTTCGGAAACACCAGGATGCTCGGAAGAGAGGAGGGTCGTCCAATACAACTGCGTACACCTTTGACGTCTCAAAGACCGAGGAAATCCTCGATTTTCTCGTACAGGAGCAGTTCATCACTCTGCCATTCGGTCATATCTTACCTTCAACCGAGGAGCTGCAAGGGAAAGATTACTGTAAGTACCATGACACCTGGACCCATTCTACTAACAACTGTTGGGCTTTCAGGAATGCCATACAGGAACGGATCGATAAAGGAGTGCTGAAGTTCCCCGAGAAGAAGAAGGAAAGCATGCTGATTGACGAGGATCCCTTTCCACCCGTAGCAACCATCAACTCAGTCACTTACAGTCTGCGTGACCCGAGTGATGCCAGGAGAGACTGGAGACCCAGATACTCTCATCCTACCCGCAGGAGATCCCGTGTCTACACCAGATACAGGTTACCATACCCTCAGAATGTATGGAGAAGGGAGCCGGGGCACCAGGCCAAACCTCGCAGAGATCAGGCTACACAGACTGGACCCATATGGGATACCCTAGGGGAGCCCTCAGGGAGATTCGATTATCTGGTGGATTATTCCCCCAAGACGGTCTTTACTGTTACCGGGAAACCGACAGGATGGGATGTTATGCCCGAACAGGTTGAAGCTCCGAAGAAGAAGAAATAAGTTCGGTTCGTGCTCCCACCTCAGACGATCCCAGAGAGAAAATGGGAGATAGTCCGTCACAAAAGGTTCCCAGCACCTCTGACTAGGACCCAGAAAAGGGGACTCCAACGGAAGAGAGCAGCCAGGCGCAGAGCTCCACTGGAGGAGATAGCTCCCGAACTACCCGGAGAACCCAAGAACAAGTTCTCTAGAAAGTAAACCTTTGATGGGAAAGACAGCGACAGTGACGACATCAGCGAAAGCATGAAGGCCTTGACCATCAACATAGGTGATGTGCCCGTGACTTTGTGCTCTACTATTTCGCTAACACTACCCGCTACTCTCCAGAGACATCATACAGGCCGAGAGAGTACGGCTAAAGGGTCGTTTGGCCCAGACAGGAGGAGTAAGAAACCCCGGGAGACCGAGACCTCGGAGGTTGCTTGTCAGGTAACTGTCCAAGCCAAGGAAGGAAAGCCAAAGAGTGCCATACTGGAGAAGCCCTCTCCGCGGATGACCCAGCACATTAAACCACTGTATGTGAAAGCTCACCTCAATGGGAGGCCTTTGAACAGGGTTTTGGTGGATAACGGCTCAGCAATCAACATCCTACCCGCCAGAGCTCTCTGGAGCCTTGGAAAAACGGTAGAGGACCTTATTGCTACCGAGGTTACAGTCATCGCCTTCAACGGAGAACCGTCCAAGGTACTGGGACTCTTGCCAGTAGAACTCACTGTCGGCTCGAAGACGTCTGTTACCGCTTTCTTCGTGGTAAGCTCTACAGCTCATTACCAGGCATTATTGGGACGAGATTGGATTCATGCGAACGAGTGTATCCCGTCTTCCTTGCATCAGTTCCTGATCATGTGGAATGGAGATGATCTAGCACATCGGCTAGGGGGGAATGAAAGAATTCGCTTAGTCCTAAGAGTGGACACCATGGAAAGAGAGTTGTATATAAGATATGTGCTTCGGCCTTACCAGCTGAACCACATGTCCACAGAGTGAAATGTCTTTTATTTAAAAAAGCTTAGCTAGCTTCTCTAATGGGCACATAACTCGAAAGGGAGCGACCCTCACGCGCCGTCACGCAATGTAGGTTACTCCTACCGCGAAATGAGAGGCCGGTCTGAGATCGAAGACGAGCCATCCCCAGGCCCCTAACAGGAGAGAAAGCCGGCTTAACACTAGGTTTTTATTCCTTGAGTGCCTTAAAGCAGGTACTGACCCGGATATGACCTCGTGATCCCCGAATAGGTAGTCAACCCCTAAACCTCTCAACGAGCATGTCTCCCCTGGTCTCTTCCCTACTGACTCCCAGTATCACTGGGCTTATCATTCCTACCTTTGGATCAGACCTTCCTTAATCCCGACGCTGTCCGCCCTGAGCGCAACGCTCTTGATTCCGCCCTCTTTATTACATCCTAGCTCGGATTAAGAACCTTACCTCCTCTCGTAGGGTTACTCTGCCTGGACACTCCCACGGCTCAGTAGCGTGGCAAGCCGACTGACTCTGAAACCTTTCTTTTCAGCTCTTACAGTAAGCGCTATTCTTGGAATAAGCGCTGCTAGTCTTTGAGGGTTGGTTTGGCCACTATAAGTCTGACAGTGAATCCAATAGTTGACGAAGATGGCATCGAAAGGGAATTGATTGCAGCAGGCCAACTAGGAATAGAATAGGCTCTTAGGGAGCCCAGAATACGGCCGAAGAAAGGCAACTCGTGCTCTTTGAGGGGGAAAGAGGGTCTTGTGCACGTGAATCAGATGTTGGGACTTTTATCTCGAGAGAGGGGGTCTGACCGCTCTTTGGAAGAATGCCCTCTTAGGCAGCTAGAGAAGTTGACTAATGCTCCTACGAATAGGCAGGCCTTTGGGGAGAATGAAAATGAATCCCAATCCGCTTCCCTTGAAGCAGCTGTGTCACTTTCGGATTTGATAGAATCGAGTTCTTTGCAGGTTTGACATTGTGGGATTTTCCTTACTAGCCTTCAAGCGCTTACTCAATGCCAAACTTATCTAACCTAACAGCGCATATGAGCCGTTAAGGTCAAGGCCGTACTCTATTCCTGACTAGACTAAAGGTAAGGAATTGCGGCCTTATATACGATACCACCAAACAAAGGATTCTAAACCTCAAATCTTTTTTCGATAGGAGCCGCTTGGCTGATAATGAGGAAACGAATTCTACCTTTACCGATTGGACTGGTTCAACATCTCCACAGGACGCCCTACCAGTTGGCGCAAGGACTGCTTTTGCCCTGGGACCAAAGAAAAGAACAAAGGGAAGCTCAGCTCTCACTACCAGTGAATGATGAAATGCCTCGACTTAGAAACCACAGCCCTTCTGTCGAGAGGACAAAATAAATCCTTTTTATCAAAATAGAATCTTAGGGATGCCTTGCAGTTGAAGCCTCTGGGCTTAGCCCTACTATGACCGAAGAAGACGATTTACTAAAGATAAAGAAAAAAGACTCCATGAGCCAGTTACGCCACTTCAGCACAAGGTCTTGAATAGCCTATACGAATTCTCAGTTGGAGGATTTGGTTTTGCCTTCAGTGGGCAATCTTCCATTCTATGCCCATAGATGCCACACTTCAAACAAATAATGTTGAGATTCTCATATTCCACCGAAAAATGGCTTTCCTGGTAATCACGCGGGAGACAAGTTTCCGACGGAGATCGATCTCGACACTGATCCTCGCATATCTTCCCCTCTCGACTTTCCCCTTTTTCTGTTGGAGAGTGTTGAGGTCAACTTTCAGAGTCCTGCCGATGATATTACCCAATCTCCAGAGAAAAGTCTCATTGCAGTAATAAGCCGGAAGATTAGGGATACGAATCCAAATCGCAAGCTTGCTAAGCGTCTGACTGTGGGGATTCAAGCTTGGACTCCATCTTTGAACAAGAAGGTAGTGTCCCTCTATGACCCGCGGACCATCGTTTAGAACTCAGTCATAGTGAGCTTTGTTATTCAACCTGATAATTTAGTAGTTTTTCTCCAGATCGATTCACTCGAGATCGGCTAGCCCCCATAGTGGAAGAAGTTTGTCTTTCATCACTCTCTAACTCAGTCTTCTACCCAGAAGAGTGATTACGAGGGCATCTTTCCATGGACGAACAAAGTCCTTCCATTCCTCATTAGACACTTCCACCTCAGGCTAGATGGTTTTTAACCGATCGAGTTCGGCAGCAAGTGAAGGCGGTATCTTCTCTTCTTCCTCTAGCCACTCCTATAAACCATTTGGTTGAAGATCTGTATCCATTGAATCGCAGCCAATCAGTGAAGCTTTGTAAGACATCTGTGTATTCTTTGCAGGTACGCTAGGGCATTCTTCGGTAATCGGATTCACCTGAGCTTTCTCTGAAGAAGACCCATCAGGTTGACTTGCCTGTTACAGTAAGGTTTTTCAGAAATAAGACTTTGGGCCTTACGGAGCGCCAACAAGTTGTAGGATACAGTCGTAGGAACTCGGACAAGAAAGAAGTGTTGGGACTACTTCTAGTCTCGCACCAATGTCCCTGTTCTTAGCGATGGGAAATTTAGGCTAGTGTTACCACTGGTCGGGGGTCCGACCAACTTAGTAGTCCCTCGGTTTAAGGGACTACACCCCGCTCATTCTATTACCCTGGTTTCTTCCCTTTTCGCTTCACTCGAGTGACTTCGTACCTACGTACCTTAGTTAGACCGTCAGCAAGGAGGATTCTGTTCAGAAACCCCATCATCACGGGCAAGTGTCTTTCTTCGAAGACTTGCAACAACCGAAGTTAAGATACCCGAATCAAGGAGGGAAAAAGCCGTGTGAAGCGAGTCATAACATTGCTCCTGACGCCCTAAAAAGCCTGAAGGTTGCCCTTTTCTCGTGAAAAAGGTGAACGGACACCCTTGCTTCGATTGCCTCGTATAGAACCAACCCCCAAAAAGGTCACTGGAAATGGCTGGAATGAATTGTTTTCAAACTTCTTTGCCCGCGAAATCTGCTTGCCCTCATCCCTAGACTGCGGTTACAGGGACAAGGCAAGGGGGGGATGTAACAAAACTCAAAGCGATAAAGAATGAAACTGGGTGGCTGAAAGCCCTTAAGACTTCAACTCGCTCTTAGGCAGAAGCACTAGGAGCAATGGAATTAGGGGGGGAAACTCATTCACACTTGATGTTATATAACGGGATGTAAGAAAACAGAACTCCCCCTGTCTCGCGCGAAGAAAGAACCAAGCAAACCGCTTTCACATCCTATGTCTTGCGCTTGACCTATAACCTGCTCTCCTTGGGAAAGAAAAGAGCTTGACATCCGAGACATGTCGGAGAAGGAATAGCACGCAAAAGTAGAAAGAAACGAGAAGGCATCAGTTACTATTGAAAATCTCATTTTCCCACCATCCCTTGGCTGTAGCTCTCCCGTTCCTTTGTCTCGCTTCGGAGCTGGTGATAAAGAAGACTTTCTCATAATGTGCTTTGGAAGAAAGTCCCCCCCCTATCCCGTTTAAGGCCCTTGCTTCTTCGGTCGAGTAACATAGTTTCTCTCCCTATAGTCTCGTGGCCGTATCTCCTCTCCAGCTTATTCGATAGGGGCGAGCTACATAGTAACCTCTCACTGGAGGAGTAGGGTCTTAGAAGGCCGCTGGACCGAGTTGAGCAAGTTCTTTCATACAAGACTGACGTGATAAAAACCTTTTTTTTTGGTATTCATTAATTGAGAGAGAGTAAAGGACAGATTTTTTACCGCATTCCCGCAATTCATGCAGCCTTTCAGTTAAGACTGGAAGACTGTATTCAGTCAGTCGATCGCGGTGAAGGATTGCGTTACGCAGCAGAGACTCTCGGTACTCATCCCAAAAGGCCGATCTGTCAGGGTTAAGTTTGGCCATCTCAGAAAGAATTGTGTTTTTTAAAAAAACAAGGGCTTGAGCCTTTATACGGCTTGGCTTCGCTATCGCTCCTATGTAGTGGTCGGCCTTAAAAGTGGTATTCCTCCCATAAAAAAATGCCTATTATCTAGTTTAGGAGTGAGCGAAACTTTCAATTTAGTGGCTTCCCCCCTTATCTTATCCACGCGAGCCCAAGCTGCCTTAAGAGCCTACTCTACTAACAACTAAAGGGGCATGCAACTAAAGGGGCATGAGCCCTCAAAGAAGCTTTCAACGCAAACCTTACATCCGCAAGTAGAAATTCCTTTGCAGCAGAGCTTGCCGCAATCGGAGCAGCTCTTATCCGAAAGCTGCCCTCGCACGGGCACGGGGTCCGGGTCCGTCACCCTAATTATTCGCGGAGCTTGTAGAACGGGCGGCTGCTGGGGCTCATTCGGATCGGGTTTTATGAACCCCCCCGCGTGCGAGCTCGATTCTCCGTCTGAGTGAATCCCGGCCCGGTTTTTCCCCACTAACCAATTACGTTACGACCACTGAACAAACTTGGTTGACGAACATGGTTTATGCGCCGCTAATGTAGCGGCTTGTCGAGCATTTGACAAACTCACACCATCCATTTCAAATGGGATTTGTCCCGTGGACACACGAGCAATCCAACCCGTAGGATTTCCTTTTCCTCTTCCCATTCTTACTTCTGTAGGTTTCCCGGTAATAGGGATATCCGCGAGAACTCTTACCCATATCTTACCATTTTTTCGGAATTGTCCGCTCATAGCACGATGGAATTGTCCGATTGTAGCCCGACGCGCTGCTTCAATGGCTCGATATGAAAGACGACCAGCTCTACAACTTTTAGTGCCATATCTTCCAAAACCAAGTTGTGTACCGTCTGGTTTGCAACCCCTACGACATCTGCCTTTACGATATTTACTATATTTCGTACGTTTCGGATATAGCACGTCCCCCTTTTTTTTTACTATATGAAATCCACACTTTGACACCTGAGATTCCGTAACGAGTAGATACTTCCGCAGAAGCATAATCGATTTTCTGGTTAAATACATTACGAGATGTTTTTCCATACTTTCCGCATTCAGTTCTAGCTATTTCTGCGCCTTTTGATCGACCTGAACAACATATACGGATCCCCACCCCTTTTTTCATTACTAATGGAATATCCTTCACTATTTTACGAAAAATGGAACGAAATGATCTTGTTTTCTTTCTCAGTTGAAAAGAGATGTCTTGAGCAATCGGAGAAGCACTTTGATAAACAGATTTGATCTTGACCGACTCAATTAAGGTATTAGTGTTTGTTCTATTAGACAACAAAGATCGCATTTTTTTCACTTCGTTCAAATAAGAGTTGTACCCGTACGGAATTCTTCTGTTTCTCAGTATGATCTCTATCATCATCTCTATTCCCTTTATCAATTCTCCTATCCTACCTAGGTCTATGAATTTTTCTATAAATTCAATTACCTTATCCTTAACCATGAGTTTCCAACATTTGATCCTTAATTGACCTAGGAGTTTTTCCCGGGCATCCTCAAAAAAAAGGTTATTATACATCCCAACTCTATCCCTTGGAAAGAAAAAGGTAGCACCGAAGAAAGGAAAGAGCGAGATGGTGGTTTTGGTTTTTGTTGTTCCCGCGAAGCGAAGATCATTCGCCAAGCGAATGAAGTGGGTCAACCTCTTTTTGGCTTCGGCCAAACACTTTTTCTCGCTGGTCGAGCTTTCCACAAAAAAAGCGATGCGAGAACGTATTCTCTTATCTAAGCTTCTTCCCTGCGCATTCGCTCCCCCCATCGTAGATGGTTCAGCCACGCCCGGTGCCACGAAATGATTGAGAACTACGACGGGGTCGAAATGAATTTGGTTCTTTGTATTCAATAAGTATTGCATGACCGAATAATTCAAGGAGGGGCGCACTGCAGGGAAGGTCCTTTTAAATAGATGACTCGTCGGGCCGTCGGAGCGGGACTTCTTGGGGAAAAATAACTTGAATAATTTCGTTTTTCTGAAGGACAGGAACGCTATGTCATTTACAACCCCGGCGTATTTCGGATGCTTGAAGGCCCCGCTTACCCGAAGTGATTTAGAAAGATTCTTCTTTATCGATGGTGATCGGTCATGGTATCCATAGCGTTGCTTCTTTTTCGGCCAAATCCGTCTTTCGTTTTGCTTCTCCCGGTCGTCGAGCCTGATCGACTCGACTCTTTTCCCAGCCCTCCGGCCTCTTACTTCGTTTCGTTCTTCTTCTGTATTGTCGCTTGAATGAAGACACCCGATCGGCCCGACTTTCCCAAATGCCCACCACCGGCCCTTCTCCTTTCCGGGTCTGGATTTTTCGCGTCGTTTCAGTCGTCGTGGTCGACGGGGAAGAAAGAAATGAATGAATGTTCTTTTGGGAAAATGTAGAATAATACACCTACCGAGACGAAAGCCAAAGGTTAGTCTCGTAGGTGGACGTATCGAACCGAAATAAGATCTCAGATTGACATCTTGATACACTAATTTAGCATAATAATAAATAGAGTCAATGGTGACTCCGCCGTGGGAATAGCCGCTTCTTTCTTGCTTGATAGAGGGGCTTCCATTCACCAACGCAGACAAAAAGTGCTCTCCGAACCGTGCTGGATAGTCACCCATCACACGGCTCTCAAACCCAACCTGTGATGAATCCCGGGAGACAAAGTCAAAGCGCTTGATCTTTTGCTCCATACTTTGAGATGCTTCTCCCCGTCCCCGCCGATCAAGCAGCGACGCTGCTCGTGCTAGGCTTAGCTTTAAGCCGCTATCGTTCGGTTCGAATAAGTCAAGTCCCCTCGGTCGGTTCGCTCAGGTGGTCTTCCCTTATCTTCCCTAATGTTCAGAGTAGTTCTGGTTTGAAAAAGGAGCACCGGCCGAGCGCCCTGAATGAATAAGAAATGGACAGCAAAGGGAATCAATGATTCTTATTCAACCGAGTTGAAGTTAGCAACATGTCGATTACACACCGGAGGTTGGTAAGAACTGAGGGACAATGCCCCCCTAACCTAAGTGGGCCTACCAGCGAAACAACTGGTACTTGATCGGGGGTGGGGGGGTTGGTTTCGTGCAAGGCCTTCGCAGCAGGAAGAGGCAGTTGTCATTTGAAAGGAAAGGCTCCTCTCCTTTTCTACGAATCTACAACTCTCTTTACTGAGCGAGACTCCATCCATATCCCCAAAAGTTTATATTACATTGGTGGGAATATAGGCCGATACGTCTCCAGCTTGAATCTCGTTCAATCCATAAACACGTGCAATACCATCTCCAACGGACACCACTCGACCGATCTCATCCAAGTGAAAACAAGTCACAATCATTAATAGGAAGATTACAACTCCGAGACACCAAACAAATTCCCTAGGACTGCTATAACTCGCATGATATAGACCACGAAAAATATGAAGGTGAACCACAATGAGAAACATACTTGCCCCATTAGCATGCACATAACGGAACAACCAGCCATCTCCTTTCATTACTACAAAAAGAGTCCCGTCAATATGGGATCGGCTACAGAAAATGGATGTAGAATATTCAAGACTTGATGAAACTGATCACTCGCAGGGCCATAGAGCGTTAGCTCTTTTAAGATCTTAATTATGTTACCAAGGTCCGTTGTCGGCTCCCCAATAATCTCCGTTGCTAATTGAGTATATGTCCAATTCTCAGGTAAGGGCAAATTTTGGTTAGTCATTAACTTCTCGAGGCATTTCGAAACTGCTTGGGTCATTTTATTTTAATCGAAGCAAATTGCGAAAGCGTAACAGGTGTGCTCCCGCTTCCGGGTTGCACTGGCGGGTTTCCACCCGCATTAGGAATATGCATGACGGGATTTATTAACCCGTCCGTACTGAAATGCTTTTCTTGCTCGCTAATGGCTCGACATAACTGATCCACAGTTTCAAATAGAATCACCTGATTTTCCATTTTTGATAGGTTTTCGGTCTTAATAAAAATAGGTCAGGGGCGCGTCGGAACGGTCGGTGGCTGCTTAGTCTCATCCGGGAGTCTAATCTCTTTGTACTCCTTTTTTTTTTCAGGCAAAAGAATAGGGATTAGCCTCGAGCCACGCCATCCAAACTCAAACCCATATATGAAGCCCTTTTGGGGACCCAATTCGGAATTGAATTTTAGGACTTGTTGGGCTAATTTATGATTTAGAGCAAGTCCTAAAAGCCAAATTCCGAAAAAAAGACAAAACAAAAAAATGAAAAAGTAACCCACTGATAGGTTTTTCCCAATATATTGATCCAAAAAGGTAATAAGAGATTCAATCATAAACCACTTATACTCGGTTGTATGTCAACCTCCCCTTCACCCCCAAAAGTGGTAAAGAAGTATTTTGGGTCTAATTATCTTTCTATCTGACAGGACGGAAGGGATGGTTCTTTCATTGCATTGATAGAAGTAGAAGTCTAACTAGAATCTCTCTATTACTTTGAGAAGAGAATCGTTGGTTTGACCGACGAACTACGTGGGAGAAAGAAATAAGAAAAAAAAAGAAAGAAGGGGGTAGATTTAGGCTCCTTCCCTTCCACTGCATAGCTGCGCTAGCAGGTACTACGAGCCCTCTGTCCCACGCATCTAACCAGCTCGCGTGGTTCACCGGTTCCACCGAAAACTCTCATTTGTTGAAGCGGAGCATAGTGCGCTTTAGGCGCCGAGCGAGAAACGTCTCTTTCTTCTTTCGTTTCGGTTTATTCACTGATCTGAAACTTAGCACTTGTTTTCTTATTGATTCTAGGGGCGGCGGCGTTCTTAAATTCAGTCTATACGAACCGAATTAGCACTTCTCAGATCAGGCTAGGCCTCTCCAGCGGAGCTGGGCGCCGGGGCCCTGGATGCGCTAGCGATCGGCACATAGGGGAGTGGTTGCCCGGGTTTCTCGGCCAGGTATCCAGCACCTCGCGTTCATGATATCTACATTCAACTGTGCCCCGGAGACACGGTCGAAGCACGCCCGCCCAGTGTGCTTGCTTCTTTCACGACATGCTCTGGTTCCGGGTGTCTTCCAGTGGTCTTCTAGCGTTAGAAGAAGTCGTGTCCGTCCCGGACATCTGCAACGTCCTCCCACGCTTTTTTTTTAATATAGGACAAACTGAAGGAAAAGACTGACCCATTCGGTGACTTTCGCGGTCGCCCTCACTGAACCGACTTGAATCTGAACTACGATTCAGATCGAGTCTTACCGAAATCGGATTTCCTTTGCGTGCCATATGCGCTTAGACTTGATTTTTTCCCTTTTTTTTCTTCCCGCTTTAATATTTGTTCTTGAAAGTCTTCGTTTCCGTGTAGAAGCAAACTCTCCAAATTTTGGATCCTAGGGACTTTTTGGGAATTTAACCCAACTTACTTTTCGAATTGACCGAGAACGTTCGATTTGCATGTGTTAAGCATAAGGCTAGCGTTACAGAGTCTTCAGTCTCAATCAAAGACAGAGCATTTTCGATCTTAGGCGAACGAGGGTTACCGGCTCTACGACCTCGCAAGGCACTACTGTAGAGCTCTTTGGGTACTACACCTCAAGGGCGCTTTCTCAAATCGAAAATGGAAACTGTCAAGATTTTCGTACTGAACGATTTAGATTATTATCTATGTTATTTCAGGATGGATTTTCGTTGATCGGGTGCGAACCCGAAGTCAATTCATTCTCTTTGGCTGAAGTCAATCTTCATCAAGACAGCTGACCGAGTCGAAACCTACTGCTCAAGTCTGACGAATGGCGTTCATGAGCTGGTAAAGTCGAGATCAATCAACTGGGATCGGATCGCCACACCTGGCTTTCCTGGTAAAAAAGAGTAGCTTTCCTTACTGACTGAACACCTTCCCCATCTCTCTTTTAGACAGATAGAGTTTTCACCTTGGCTCGTCTATCCGAATCCTCCACTTTCCTTGTTCGTTCACCTGCCCGGTCTGGTTCACCTTACCCGCTGGCTTGGACGAGTACAGTTCACTGATTTGAATCACTTTTTCTAAAGCTCTGATATCAGTAGTACTTCATCTTTTCTTACTCGTCACAGTAAAGATCCCGCGCATCAAATGATTACTGACTTGAACTAGCACTTGCTGCTATTCACTCAGCAGAGATCAGGCGAGATGCTAATTGGAAAAGGACTGACCGGACCTGCCTTCCCGGAAAGCACGAGCCATATTTCATCGGAGAACCACTTTACATTGGCACCTTGGCCAGGTAGACCCGTCCCACTCTCCGGACCTCACCTCTGCTTTTTTGGAGTACGGGATGACTCGGATGGGCAGATAGAACAGAACCTGTCAGTTACGCCTTTAGGGGACGCTACGGTGCCTTAGCCGGTTCCCGATCCTCCTTCAAAAGTGGTGATGTAGGCGGATTGGTAGGGCTTAACATTCTTCGTGTTTGGAGTAGGTAAATTGGGAAAAGAAAGGAAGGGCGATGCTTGTTAAAGAAAGCAGCGTGTGGGGCCGCCACGTATAGCTGTAGTTTATGCTGTAGCATCGGTTATAGCTCTGGTTACGAATGACCCCAATCTATCTATGGCAACCACCCCTACTAAAAGTAGATGGAGATGCGCACCTAGGAAAGACGGATGAAAGAGAACCTGCCCTGAGAGATTGGCATTGGCCTGTGGGTCCGCTGCGGTAGAAGGCCTTGGCTGACGTCCGATCCGGGGGAAAGCTATCGTCCGAGGTTCCCAGAATATGGATAAGGGGGAATGGTAAGACCTTACCGAGTGTGCATCATATCAAGGTGATGGGCCAGGCAGCAATGCGGAAGAGACCAGTAGGTTTGGAAAGCCTGTCGATCCATCCTGATTAACTTACGCTATTTCTGACTAGAGAGAGCACTGAGGCAAGCTCTTTCACGCATGTCGCTTCGATGCGCGCTAAGACAACCACTCATGTCTACTTCTAATGCGCACGAACCAGAGCTATCTCCCGAGAACCCCTTCCCTAGTAAAGAGGTACTGACCATCGGTTCTATCGTGCCCCAGTTAACGATAGCCTCGGATAGACTAAGGATCTTAGGTGAGACCTAGAGTGCAGCCAACTAAACGCCAAATAAATCGGAATCAAACTTCCACATCTGAGATTCCATGTGTGACTAACTCAATTGAGAAATGCCCCTCTTGTACGCTAACGTTCTAGGATGGCAGCAGGGTTGGTCAAACTATCCTGGATTTATGGTAGCATTGCTAGTTGCTTTAAGCTTTTTCTACTGTACGCATATTCCCTGTCTAGTGAGTCGAGAAATAAGGGCTTACTGAAAGCTCAACCCATGTAACTGCGATTCAACCTGTTTTTTCTTCCTGACCAATTCCCCAGGAATCGATGTCAGTGTCTGACCATTTTACAGCTCCACGCATGCAAGGTCTTGCTGGCACTGAGAGTGCTAAGCGCGCTACGACTTTTCTGTTCAAGAATTTTGATCTTCATCAGGCAAGGCAGTAGGAATATACATAATTCTTTCCCTGTAATAGCTCTCACTCTCATATTGTTTTTCATTGTAGTAATCTATCTTTCCAGGGTAGGGTTTTAGGTAATAAATGGATTTATTCCCCCGGTAGAAAATGTAGATTTACAGCTCTTCTCCTGGGTAGGGTCTGGTCTTTCGCCCGGTTCGTTCAATCAAAACTCAATTTCCGGGAAAAAACGACTTCTAAATAAAAGGGATATACCACCTGTTGCCACATTTGCTTATTCAACTTCAAAAAAGAGTTCGTCACGTTCAAGCTAAAAGCTAGTTCGAACTCATTATCATAGTATGGGCTGACTTCCTTCTTCTTTTGGGTCTGCTTTGCCTTGCTTTGCTACCGGGCTTCTAGCTGCCCTTCCTCTAACAGATTCAATGGCATCGCTTATTCTTTTTGTTTCAAGCATGAGTGACCAGTCGACGAGAGGAAGAAGTACACAAAAAGAAAGATGGTCTTGGAATAAGAGGCTCGACTGTAAACTATTACTGCATATGGACCGTACTGCATTCCTTTTCTTTGAAGTCGAGTCAGTTTTTCCCACAGAATAGGAAAGATAGCAAGACTGCCTGGAGGAGAACTCCAACTAGATAGCTTGGAAACTCAAAGCCGGGAATGGGGAAACTACAACTCCTACATCGACTGTAAACTATTCTAGCCTATTAGAATCTTTCGAGAGGTTCCATGAATTAATTGAGAAGAAGTAGCGGTCAGCTTTAAATCTGTTACCGCTTTTTGAAAAAAAGGAGCTAAACGGGCGTTCTTTCGGAATCTTCTCCCCTTTTGATAGAAAAAAGCATGTCATTAGCATACCCAAAGCTTTTCTTCTTTTACATGAAGGAATGAATGTATTTTTTGTCGAGTTGGTGCAGGAAGACGTACATGAGCACGGGGGATAGGGAGCTCCCGAGGGGTATTCCCTTACTGCGGTTAGAGTAATCATTCCCTTCCTTGTCCTCTACTTTCGTAGTTAGAAAGGCATCTTATCCTATAAGATGACAAACTTGTATATTCTCTTCTCCTATATATGACTGAGAGTGATTGGCACTTTCTAATCCAAAAGAAGATCTCTGCCCGGGCTTTATAAGGTTGACTGCCGATCAACGACAAGGGATCCTCTATATAATCATTCCATTCTAAAGCTGTTAGCTAAGTATGCCAGAACCCCATTCCAGGGATGGAAAGTACGTGGGAAGAAGACTAGCTTGAAAGCGTGATGGGAATCGAATAAATTGAAAAAGCTTAAAAATCGACTTTCGAGCTTGTTGGAGTTTCTTTTCTTCTCGCTCCAAGTTCGAGCCAGTTCATCAGTTGCTTCTGCCTTCGATCGAGCAAGAATGGCAGTTGCAAGCCAATTTGAGTCTACATATAAGAAAGTGGTTTACTTTGGCTAAGGCATTTCAGTGTACACCCCAGACTAATGAATATGTGAAAGAGTCCTGCCCCTTACCTTAGGAAAACCAGTGTGAAAGCAAGGGCCAGCAAACGAAGAAAGAAATAACGTGTTTCTTTAATTTTAATAAAAAAAGCATCGATTGCAGTTCGAGTCTTAAGGGAATCCCTTGGGAAAGGAAAGTGATAGTTCTCTTGCAGAGAGAGAGAGTTCCTGGGAGTTGGAGTCTCCAGACGAGTGTCTCTCAAGTGGAGAGATTTTCTTACTCTTCCAATAGGGAAGGGATAGGATCTAGCAAGTAAGTTATTACGCTTAGGAAAGTTCCCCGTCATCAAATTGGAATCCTTCTGCTTTCGATGGTGGTCCAGCCGATCTAATATACCTTATAAAGATCCAGACTAGATAATCAGCTAGCCTAGTAGCAGGGAAGTGTTTTCTTTCTCAGTGCCGTTGGGAGAATAGTCCATTGGGGCTTACATCTCGCGCAGTAATAGATAGATCTCTTTCCCTTAAAGGGAATAGCTTATCTTAAGAATTCGTTCTTTCCTTTCACTCTATCTAAGGATATGTGTAGGTCTAAGGCGCTGATAGATTCATTATTTTCTTTCCTTTCCAAGTGCTAGCTAAGAAGTGAGTGATCAATCGAGTTTCCAGTAAGACCGGGCATATCAGTAATAGGACTACTGCTTATACAGGAAGACCCTTTTATGCTTTTGCTTGATTCGCTTCAAAAAGTGCTCAAGGAGAAGTGAGTTTTCAATACCTAAGGCAAGTTCTAGAAATTCGTTAATAAAGCCTGTATCAAAAAATCCTAATCAAAAAGCGAAGTATGCCATAACTCTGTCTCAAGAACTAGGACCATGGATAGCTCTTGTTAAGATCTTCCCCGCTGCTTGACTTTGCACAAGAAGAAGCTTTTTACACTGGCCGGAAGGAGATTTCAAATACGATCTCATGAGAGAGTCAGATGGCATGTACCGAACTACCTCGTGAAATCATTACATATTCTTTAGCCCAGTAATGAATACATAGGTTCGAAGTCATAATTTGAAGATAAAATAAAAGAATTGAGGGCTTGTAAAAGGCTCGCCCTATATACATAAGGTAAGTAGAGCGCTTTGGCCCGAACTACTACAAAAAAAGGGGGACTTTCTTTTCTTTATGAAAGTCTTTTATCCGTGGTTTTCGAACTCCCAATCGGAAGAGGAAACGAAGTCGGATAAGAAAGTCTTCTGAGCTTAAAGCCGTGTCTGCCCCCTTCCAAAGTCAGGTGTCGGGCAAGAAAGTTTTTTGAATGGACGATTCGATTATTCTCACTATTTTATACGAGATAAAAGGGGCAATCAAAGTAAAGAAAGAAGAAAGGCCGCTTAGGAAAAGAGAACGATTTGAATATCCGGGAAGTCGAAAAAGACAGAGTTTATGAGGCAAAATCATATTTTTTGGTTTTTTATGGATTTTTCTCACGCGGTCAAACCATCTCCCCATCCCAAGGAGGGCCAACACTTCCTCTGCTGTCTCGTCGACCTTTCCCTTCGATGATTCGTTCAAACAAAATGTTATGCTTCGTGCTTCGCACCCTCGCATTTTCAGTTGATTCTTCCCAACTTCGAGAGTGAGATTGATCCGACCAAGTAGTTGTGCGGTAGCCTGTACATACATGGCTAGTTTCCAGGCAAGCCATCCATATTGGCATAACCTTCTTCTATGCCATCTAGCTTCCTAGCCGGTAGTTTCCGTTGATCGTTATCTTCATCCATCGGATCAGCTCCTTCTTTTCTTATCTTATTTTTTTCAATGACTGCTTCTTATGCTTGCCCTCGTTCTTCCCTCTTCTCTAGACCCACCCTCCGAACATATGCTCTGTACGAAGTTCATGGATTTGAAACTCCTGCGTGCGAGACATGGTCAGCTAATTGCTTTTCAGCTTGTTCCAGCTTCGCGGCTTCAGTTTTGTATGAGAGCGGGCACTTTCTTCTCCACTCTCTTCTCCTATACCCACCCTTGGTAAAGAAAGCTTTGGTTGAAAGCTAGGTTTGGTGTCGGTCCCGGTTGAATGTGATCGTTTTTGCACCTTAAGCACGCACGCGAGAGCAAAAGCTTACCTTCAGAAGCGATCGGTGCCCACGACTCTGCACCTTGTGAATTGCTAAACACTTCTGAGACCGCAAGTGATAGAGAATTCGATCGGCTGGATATCCTAGTCGCTTATGCCAAATATCATTTGATGCGCGGGTTCTGAGAAATGCAACGCCAGACTCTGCCTTATTCTTACTCCCCCTTAATGCAAACTGATAGAGATCTCCTTTACTCTGCCCTCGCATTAGAACTCTCCGCGTGCGCAGGTCCTTAATCACAAATCCAAAGGTCGTTGTTGCACCTCCTATTACGTATGCCTCTAAAATGAGGCGCTGCAAGTCCTCCACTTGAATGAACTAACAATATACCAAGTTTCATCAGTCATAAATCATGGTTGCTGCGGGGTTTTGCGGCTTGCTTTTTCGTAAAATAAGCAACTTGCGCGAAAGCCCTTGCTCCACCAGCTAGAGCTTGGCTAGCTGTCCACCTCTGATCACCATCTGTTTCGACTCGTTCGTTACCTAGTGATGAGCTTGACTGGTGCTTTCTTTTCTTCGAAGCCAGTCGGGGAACGATCTTCTCTTTCTTTGCCGTTAATCCGGCGGCTAGGCTGGTTGTTTAATACGCGACATAGGATAAAGAAAGAGGAGTTTTTGAGCTAAAGGGAGGCCGGTTATCTTATTCGCAAGGAAGTTTTTCTAAAAATCAAAAGAGAATGAAATGGCTAAAGCCCATTCCAGGAATCAGAACTGGAACAAGAAACTAAACCCGATTCTCATGCTTACCCAAGAAGTCGGTTTATTTTACTTTTACAAAGGCACTTACGGTTTTTCCCGAGCCGACAGACCAATAAGAACAAAGGTGCCGTCCTAAAGTAAAGGGAATTTAGGGCTCTCAGTTCAAAAAGTCTTCTACTACTTGGCTGGCCAAAAGCCGACATTGTGAACAAACTCTTTAGACTCTTGGTTACGAGAGGCATCCCTCATCTCGTTCTATCATCTCTCCTGGCGGAATCTCCCACCCCAGAAAGTCCTGCAAGAGGACCCGCGCCTAACCGCCCGGCGCTTGGAAGCCCGGTTGCCAGAAAACCATTCAATTCGAAGTGAATCCATTAGCATTTTCAGCCTCGATTGGCTAAGTCGTCTTTGGTCCTTCATCCTGCCATGAATTTCAGTAAGAGAACCTACATAGAATACAGAGAAGGAGTTGTTCGCTAGCCCTTAGCGAACGATTTGCCACTAGAGGACTATTGAAA